TGCTGGGTGGGCTTGTTGCAGGGCAGGGGCTGGAGCTCTGGGCTTGGAAGGAGGAGAGGGACTTACAGGCTGGACCCCTTCCCCTTTTGGGGGCCTGGGCTCTTGAGAGAGGCTGGGGGAAGGGATGGAGGGAGCGGTGGAGAGACCAGGCAGCTCCCTGCTGTGGCTGTGTCTCCTGCGTCCGAGTTCCCCCAGGTAGGTTCCTTTGGAGCCAGCAAAGGAAGGGCCCGGGTGTGCTCCGTGAGGCTGCCTGCCACTTGTCAGGAAAAATAATGATCATTGTCATAACAAGACACTGCCCTTGAGCAGCACTTCGGACTTTATGGGGCTTGTTTACACGCTCTGCCTGTACCTGCAGAACAACCGGCGGGGAAGGCTGGGTAGGTACTGGGCACCCGGCTTTTCCTCTTAGCCCATACTTTAGCATCTGCTTGTTGAGAAGTTTCTTTTTCCCACGGGTCTCCTGATACCTTCTCGTAGTGCCTGCCCACTGGTGTTGGTTTGCCTTCTGAACTTCACAGATGATGTCTGGTCCCTACTTACAATGACTGTTCCTTCAGATATGTGAGAATAGGAGGCTCACCGGCCCTAGACTTTCTCTTCTAGCATCCCGGGACATCAAACCTATGGCATGACTCCTAACAAGATCACCTCAATGCCCTTGTTTTATAGTGGAATTAAGCAGATGCCAGCAGAGCCTGGGGCCACTTGGCTGGAGGTGGCAGAGCTAGTCCCTCGCTCCCACCAGAGTTTCACAACCTCTCCTTGGAGGGGTATGTCTCCTCATTCTCCCACCCCCATCACTTTCAGTCCCTTTACCCCAAAGGGACTGTTGTGTCATTTCCCCCTCTCTCTCCACTCAGACTGTGTGGTCCAAACTCCTCATTTTCATTTGGGGACTGCGAGGCTCAGGAAGGGTCACTGATATTCTCAAGGCCATGTCTCGAAGGCAGATCTCCAGACTCCTCTGCCAGTGCTCGCTTAGCCAGAGCCAGGACCCAGTAGGGCTGAGGGTTAGGAGTGTGCTCGGGCATCCCCTGGGGCTGCTTCGAGAGGCCTGAGCAAGGGCAGAGATGAACCTGAAGTCCTGTCCCTGCCCTCCAGGCCCCAGCAAGGAGAGATCTCCTAGGGCTGGGCCCACAGGGCAGGCGCAACTGGGGCGCCTGGGAGAAGCCCATCTGGAAGGCTGCACATGCTGCCCATGGGGTCACTGGGCTGCAAGGACTCTCTTCTGGGAGACTCTGCTGCCCCAGCTGTGCTTTCGGAAGGAGGCCTGTATCCCTAGGCTTTGGGGAAAGGGCTGGATATGCAGCTGGGGGAGGGAAGTTTGCTGGGTAAGCTGCAGCGGGCGGCTTTGCTTGGCTTAATGGGGTGGGCCAAGAGTCGGACTGGGAGAGCTGGCTTTAGGGTTTCCTGTCTGTCTCCCCCAGAAGCACTTAAATGGAACCCCAGATCCCTTCTCTGTACCACCCCCCGCAGGCCCAGGCCTGGACTGCTGCACTTCACACTGACCAGGGCCCCTCCCTGGAATGTTTGCGGCAGAGATCTAAGGGAAGGCCCCCCGAGTCCAGGCCCCAGATGGAAACCAGGGGAGGTGAGACAGGTGAATGGAAGGGACTTACCCGCCCCTCCTAGTGGGATCGGGGCCACAGAGTGAGGCCCAGAGCTGGGCAGTCACCTGCCCCACCCTCACTCTGCTCCCAGCCAAAGCTCCTAGAACCCAGCTCTCAGGAATATCAGCGCCCAGGAGGTGGCTGGTTGAGCTATCCTGCAGAGGCCTCCCTGACGACAAGGGGGCACTGCTGGGCTCTGGATCCCCGCCCTGCATTGTCTCCACCTCTAGCCTGGGCTTTTGTCTCTGCGTTTCTCTCTCTCTCTCTCTCTCTCTCTCTCTTTTTTTTTGCAACCTCCGCCTCCTGGGTTCAAGTGATTCTTCCGCCTCAGCCTCCTAAGTAGCTGGGACCACAGGTGCGTGCCACCACGCCCGGCTAATTTTTGTACTTTTAGTAGAGATGGAGTTTCACCATGTTGGCCAGGATGGTCTCGATATCTTGACCTCGTGATCTGCCCACCTTGGCCTCCCAAAATGCTGGGATTACAGGTGTGAGCTACCGTGCCTGGCCTTGTCTCTGCATTTCTAACCAACTTCAGAAAGGTTGAAAATACAGTGCAAATAACATTTGCCCCCTCTAGAACTCTCAGAGTAAGCTGCTGACATGATGCCCCACCACCCTTAAATACTTTCCTGATTTTTCTACAAGGACTCTCTTACCCGACTAGCCCAGCTATCAAAATCAGGAAACTGACATGGATACTTTACTACCATGCAATCTAGACCCAGGGAAGTTCCGCCACTTTTCCCAGTGATGTCCTCATAGGCATCAACGGAACTTGGTTCCGAAGCGGCCATTACTTTTGGTTGCCAGGTCTTTTTGCTGTCTTCAATCTGGAAAGCTCCTCAGCCGTTCCTTGATTTTTCATGACCTTGTCACTTCTGCAGATTCCAAGACATTTAATTTGTGGGCTATCCCTTAGTTTGGGTTGGCCTGATGTTTCCTCATGATTAGAGTCAGATTGAGGCTTTCTGGCAGGGATACCGTGGAAGCGGTGTCTGTGCTCAGTGCACCCCTGCTTGGAGCTTGGCCTCGTCGCCCCATTACCATTGGAGGGATGGTAACTTTGATCACTTGATTAAAGTGGAGGAAGCCAGGAAAAGTTACTTTCTTCCTCTTTGTAATTTCTACCTATGATGTGGGGGGTGCTTGGAGATGTAAATATCTTGTGCCTTATCAAACTTTCAGCTTATTCAGTTACAGTCATGAGTTGTAACTGACTAAACTTAACCATGGGGACACGTTTTGAGAGGTGTGTTGTTAGGGGATTTTGACATTGTGCAAACACCGTAGGGAGTACTTACATATACACAGATGGTGCAGCCTACTGCACACCTATGCTGCTAGATGGTGTAGCCTGTAGCTCCTGGGCTCAAACCCTGCACAGCATGTCACTGTACTAAATGCTGTAGGCTGAGAACCGTAACGCATGATATTTGTATATCTAAGCATATCTAAATGTAGAAAAGGGACAGTAAAAATACATTATCATAAGCTTGTGGGACCACTGTCATTATGTGGTGATGACTGCATTTCTGATTGTCAGCATGGACGCATTGAAGCCATTCCTATCATCATGTATTCTGATGCTCTGATCTTCCTGGATTTGGCCTTTGGGAGCTCCTGTGTCCTTTTATCTCTCTTTGATCCCCTGACCCCCTTGTTAGTTTCTGTGTGTCTCTGTCTCATCTCTCTCATTCTCTCTGTTTGCCTTTATCTTGGTCTTTCTTCTCTGTCTCTCTGTTGCTCCTCTCTGTCCTGTCTGCTTCCTGTGCCCCTCCCTCTGCCCTGTCCTTTTCACTCTCTTTCTCTCTGCCCCTCTGTATCTATGCTTTTACCTCTCTGGGTTTCTGCCTCTGATGCAGTCTCATTGTGTCTGCTTTTCTCTGTGTTTCTATGGCTTAGTCTCTGTCACCCAGGACTCACCTCTGCAGTGTCTTCAGATAGAAGTCCTAGACACGTTGGCTTGTGTGGGGGACACTGCCACTCTACCTCCTCTGAACTCACAGTTCCCCTCTCCGGCCCCTATCTCAGACCCCGGGGGGCTCTGGAGCAGGTGCAAGAAAAGGAAGAGGAAAGAGTGGACTTTCCTCCCACTGGCTACGCACACCGCAAGACTGGGATCGTGTCTCTGTGTGTGCGCACGTGTGTGTGTGGAGGGGTGTCAGAGAGGTCTGTGCTTGGGAGACGGGAGAGAGGGAGCTGCTGGTGTCCGTGTCCTGCCCCGCTCCTGCTGCAGCTGGGAAGGGAATCAGGCTAGACCCCAGGGTGAATGCCTGGGGGCAGGGGATGCTTGTCCGGGGGAGTCCTCTGAATAGGGCACTACCTGGACGGGGCCCGCAAGGTGGGCAGGGTCTGTGCAGGGCTTTGCTTCTTAGAGCATCTTCCCAGATGTGGTTTCAAAGGACAGACTGCCAGAGCTCCAGGGGTGTGGTGCCATCCAGAGAGAGCAACTGAGGCCTGTGGTAATGGTAGTGGTGAAGAGGTACTGACCCAGGACTTTATGATGAGTGAGGCTCAGAGGGAGGCTTGGGCTGCCAGCCTGCTTCTCATGCATGAGGCGGTGGTTTAGGAAAGGATAGTTCACATCTCTGTATTTTCATAATGCAGAGAACTGAAAATAAAGATGGAAGAAGGCTTCCTGGCTGGGCCAGGGGATGGTGAAATGGGGAAAGAATGAGGGGAAATGGCACTGTGGGACCATGGTTTAGAGAAGCGAAGGCCCATCAGCAGTAGAGTGGACGAATAAACTTGCTGTGTCCGCACAATGAAATGGCACATGGGAGGTTCAAAGGAGGAGCTGTGTGGGATGCAGCCATCCGAGGGGACCTCAGATTCGTGGTGTGTGAAGGAGGCGAAATGCAAGACTACGCATTACATAATTCCACCTCGAGGAAGTTCAAAAATCTGGCATCATGACTCTTTAGTGATGGAAGCCACAGTGGCATGAACCTCAGGCTGGGGAAGACACTGACCGGGAGGGGCCATGAGGGAGTCTTCCGGGATGTGGCTCTGTGGGGCGGATGTGTGGAACATTGTATCCAGCAGTACATTTCAAGTTAGTGCAGTCTGCTGTGTGTGAGCCATGCCTTCATGATAAATCAAAAGAAAGCCAAGGTGGGGAGCCATGTGGGGGCTGCAGGTCCCAGGAGCTGGTCTCTCCAGCTGCTGTCTGGACTCAGGCTACGGGCCGCACCTGAGTCTGGGATCAACATCCTGTCACTCCCACACCTTTCTCTGTCCCTGGTCCCTCCTCCCTCCTCTGGGCCCTGAAGGGCTCTTGCCATCCTTTTCCCAGTCCCTGTCTATCTCTCTCCCAGGCCCCTAGACTCCTCCCCCAGGACCCCGGCCTTCTGCCCAAGGCTGACTGTGCCTCTCCTCCCACAGCCAGAGGATCTGGAGGCCCCCAAAACCCACAACTTCAAGGTGAAGACCTTCAAGAAGGTGAAGCCCTGTGGGATCTGCCGTCAGGTCATCACCCATCAAGGCTGCACCTGCAAAGGTGAGTAGCTGGCTGGGCCATGGGGGATGGGAGGGCCCAGCAGGGGAATGAGATGGCCGGGTCTGGGCCAGGCTGGGACTCTGCTGTGCACATATCCTTAGGGTCCCAACCTGATGCCTTGTTCCCCTCTGGTGGAGGATACAGAGATCACCAGATGAAAAGCATGTGGGTGGGTGTGGTGGGCACGGCAGGTGGTGGGAGGCATGGAAATGGCATGCAGCTTGTGTAAGGATGAATGGCATGAAAAAGGTATATGAATGTCACGTTAGTACCATGAAGAAGGTATACGAATGGTACGTGAATGGCATATGGAAGATGCATGATCAGTATGTGACAGCGTGTGGAGGTTCTGCTGAGGGTGTGTGGTTGGTGTGTGACTGGTGTGGGGATGTTGTGTGCTGAGGGTGTGTGGCTGGTGTGTGGATGGTGTGTGGATGATGTGTGCTGAGGGTGTGTGGTTGGTGTGTGGATGGCATGTGGATGATGTGTGCTGAGGGTGTGTGGCTGGTGTGTGGATGGCATGTGGATGATGTGTGCTGAGGGTGTGTGGTTGGTGTGTGGATGATGTGTGCTGAGGGTGTGTGGTTGGTGTGTGGATGGTGTGTGGATGATGTGTGCTGAGGGTGTGTGGTTGGTGTGTGGATGGCGTGTGGATATGTGCTGAGGGTGTGTGGCTGGCATGTGGATGGTGTGTGGATGATGTGTTGAGGGTGTGTGGCTGGCATGTGGATGGTGTGTGGATGATGTGTGTTGAGGGTGTGTGACTGGTGTGTGGTTGGTGTGTGGATGTGTGCCGAGGGTGTGTGGTTGGTGTGTGGATGGTGTGTGGATGATATGTGCTGAGGGTGTGTGGATGATGTGTGCTGAGGGTGTGTGACTGGTGTGTGGTTGGTGTGTGGATGTGTGCTGAGGGTGTGTGGTTGGTGTGTGGATAGTGTGTGGATGATGTGTGCTGAGTGTGTGTGGCTGGCGTGTGGATGGTGTGTGGATGATGTGTGCTGAGGATGTGTGGTCGGTGTGTGGCTGGCGTGTGGATGATGTGTGCTGAGGGTGTGTGGTCGGTGTGTGGATGGCGTGTGGATGATGTGTGCTGAGGGTGTGTGGCTGGCGTGTGGATGGTGTGTGGATGATGTATGCTGAGGGTGTGTGGTTGGTGTGTGGCTGGCGTGTGGATGATGTGTGCTGAGGGTGTGTGGTTGGTGTGTGGCTGGCGTGTGGATGATGTGTGCTGAGGGCGTGTGGATGATGTGTGCTGAGGGTGTGTGGTTGGTGTGTAGATGGCATGTGGATGATGTGTGTGGAGGGTGTGTGGTTGGTGTGTGGCTGGCGTGTGGCTGGCGTGTGGATGATGTGTGCTGAGGGCGTGTGGATGATGTGTGCTGAGGGTGTGTGGTTGGTGTGTAGATGGCATGTGGATGATGTGTGTGTAGGGTGTGTGGTTGGTGTGTGGCTGGCGTGTGGATGATGTGTGCTGAGGGTGTGTGGTTGGTGTGTGGATGGCGTGTGGATGATGTGTGCTGAGAGTGTGAGGCTGGTGTGTAAATGTTGTGTGCTGAGGGTGTGTGGATGTGTGCTGAGGGTGTGTGGATGTTGTGTGCTGAGGGTGTGTGGATGGCGTGTGGATGATGTGTGCTGAGAGTGTGAGGCTGGTGTGTGGATGTTGTGTGCTGAGGGTCTGTGGCTGGTGTGTGGCTGGTGTCTGGATGGTATGTGTATGTTGTGTGCTGAGGGTGCGTGGCTGGCGTGTGGATGACGTGTGCTGAGGGTGTATGGTTGATGTGTGGATGGCATGTGGTCTGTATGTAGACTCTGTGTGCAGGGTTTGTGGAAGGTGCATGGAGGAGGTCACGTGGTGACATGTTTTGTGGTGTGTGGATGGGATGTGGTTGGTGTGTGGAAGTCCCGTGGGTGGCATGTGCTTGGCACTGGGATTTCTGCAAAGAAGGCACACCGCAGCCCTCTTCTGTGGTAGCTTAGAGGCCACTTTAAGAGGCCCCGAGTCAGACTCAGTGGAGGACCTGTTGGCTGCCAGACTTTCAATCACTATTTTCATCGGCTCCCGGAATGGCCTGGGGCTTGAGTGTCACCGTTGCCTGAAAAGTTGTTGTTTTGTCCCAGATCACACAGTGAAATCAGCAGGAGGTCCCTGCACCCGACATCATGGCTGACACCTTCACTCATCCCGTTGCCCCATCCGATGCCTCCCTCTCCTCCACCCCCCATCCCATCAATGTAGGGCCTCCCAAGGCCTGCTGGAGTCCCCGGGCTTCTTGGCATCGTCCCCTCCCGATTCCACTGCCGTCATCTGTCCTGTGGGCAACTAACTCACCTTTACCTTCTCCTGTCCCCTGACCCATTCTCTGCAATCCACCCTCCACAGCAGCTTCCAGTGGGACTTAAAAACATAAATCCAGTGGTGTCAGCTCCCGGTTTAAAGCCTCCGGGTTCCCTTCCCTCACAATCCTTGAGACAGTGCAGACGTCTTCCCTGGCTGCCAGGCCTGGTGGGCTCAGCCTTTGCCCAGCTCTCTACCCATGTTCCTCTGCTCCTGATTCCATGTTCAAACCACTGGCGCCTCACATGGCTCCTCAGTATGTTGGGCATGCCAAAGATACCAAACGGGCCATGTCCTTTTTGCCTGGAGCCTCTGCTCATGTGGCTTTCTCTACCTGGCCTCTCTCTCACCCCTCCCTCCATGTCAAAGGCCCACCAGGCTGGGAGGCGGGCCTCGAGCCCACTGAATAATTCCGAAAGCACTTACTGCATACTAAGTGCTCACGTGTATGACCTCATCTGATGTTCACACCCCCCAAAAGGTGCTGGTGTCATCTCTGTTTTACAAAGGAGGAAACTGAGGCTGAGAGCAGTGACATCTCTTGCCAACGCACCCAGGAGTGAGGCCCGAGTGGGGTTTTCAGGATGTGTGCTCTCAGGGGAGGAAGGTGTTTCAGCTGGGTACTGGGGGTGAGTGGATGGCTGAAAGCGTGTGTGTGTGTATGTGTGTGTGTGTGTCTAGGGCATTCCAGGCAAGGCCTGCTGTGGGCACAGGGGAGAGGTTCATGGGGCTTAACTGAACGTTCGGAACCCCCAGCATGAGTTTAGGAAGCCAACCAGGATGTTTGCAATACCAAAATCAGCCACGTGGTGTCACCCTCCTCCTAAGAGGTCTGTCTGGGACTTGCCGGCGGTTTAGGGTTGGAGCCGGGTGGGGAGGGATGTCACAGAAGAATTGCTAGGGGTAAAGTTTTGCATGTTGTGTAACAGCCCCCCACCCTGCCTTGCACTGTGAGAATGCATAAATTAGCCTCTGGCCCTTCCCCATAGTTCCCTCTTGCCCCAGGGTCTTCCCGTCATCCCAGGGACTCCCAAGAGGGAGATAGGAGGCAGCCTGGAGGTGGAGGCAGAAGGAAGTTCTGCAGACATTCACTGCATGACCTGGGCAGGTCTCTGGCCCCAGAGAGTCTCCGGTGGCCCCCACATTCCATGGTTCTGGGTTCCCCAGCTGACCTGGCCTGCGCGCTTGGGTTGAGGAGAGGATTTGACCCCATGTGAACAGAAGGCTCCCAGGGTGAGCAAGACATGTCCCCAGTTTCACTTAGATCTCAGCCTGGCCCTGCTGGTGTGGACTGGAGGGGATGGCAGGTGGCTAGACTGGTTTGGCAGCTCTGGCTGGGCTCTGGAGGGTGGGGAGTTGGTGGGAAGAAAGCCAGGGCTACTCGGTAGCAGGACCAGCAGGTGTCAGGACTGGGCCACAGGAGGATAGAGAGAAGGAAGGAAGACTCCTGGCTCCCTAGGCCACGCGTGCAGCCTCAGCAAGGGGACAGGGGCCACTGGGTTCACTGGTGGGAGATGGAGGAGTGAAGCAACTGCCTGTGCTTTGGAGCCAGGAGCTCACGATGGCACAGGGTGGCCAGGTCCCCTCATTCATCCATTCACCCACCCATCCAGGGCCACCCGACGTAGTTCCCTGGCTGAGGGGGCACCTGTGGACCCAGCTGTAGCTCGTATCTGTTCACTGAGCCCAACTCAATGGGTTTGCTCTGCTCTCAGCCTTCAAGTCTCTGCTACAGCATAGCTACTCTCTTGATTAATGGCTTGGGGGTGGTGCATGGATGTCAAGGCCCTAGATTCCCAGTCTCCACGGGCCTTGCAACATTGAAGAAACTTCTGCTGCAGGCAGGGGGCAGGGAGGAAGCTCTTTTAGCTCTAGAGACACTGGGGTGTTTGGCCTGTCTTCCCCTGGCTGCCTGGACCTATGGCTTGGGCGGCTCTTCCATTCCCCTCCCTCTTGCATTTCCCATTTGATGTCATATGGCAGAAGGCAGTAGGAAAGAGATGAAGGGAACCTGGGGTCTGGTCCTGGTTCCGGACGACTCAGAGAAGAATAAGGCAAATAAGAAACTAAGGCGGGGGACGTGTGGGCATCATGGATGAGCAGACAAAGGGGTTCTGCCAGACCCATGAGCTCCTGTGAACTCCTGCCTATGAACCCTATCTTGAGTCTCTGGGGGGTTGCTGTGAGGAGCCTTGAGGTTCTGTGTGTGCCTGGAAGATGGGTCCTCATGCAAGGGATGAAGGCTCCGTGTGAAAGATACGGACACAGACGAGACAATGGCAGGAAATCAGGTGCAGAGGTGCAGTCACTAGTCTGGGCTATACTTCTGGCCCTGCTTCTCACAGCCTCGGTGATCCTGGACAAGTCAATTAATAGCTCAGGCTTCGTTGCCTCATCTATGATGAAGGAGGCTGGACCAGGAACACTTGCTGAGGCCTTGACAGTGGGAGGGCCTGGAAAACTCCCTGGTTGGGGTCTGCAGAGGCAGGATAGCACCCCTCCTCCCCATGCAGGCTGCTGCTCACCTCCTCCATGCCTCTGTGCAGCCGTCTGCCAATCATGAACTGAGCTGTCCTCTGGGTTGAATGCTGTGCTGGGTCTTGGTGCCAAGAGCCAGCCCCTTACCTGGGAAGACAGACACAGTCAGACAATCATGGAGCACGGT